CTTACTATTTACTTGCCGTCCCCTGCCACACGTTGCTGTGGCCCACTCTGGTGGTCATGGGGTTCTGTGTGGGAGGTTTGGCCCAATTCTATCGTTGGTGGGATTCAGAATGCTCTGTGATAGTGGGTGAACTACAAATCCCAGCAACAACAACTCCCAAATGTCAAGATTCTATTTCCCCCAAACTCCACCAGTGTTCACATTTGGGCATATTGAGTATTCGTGTAGAGCAGGGGTCCTCAAACTAAGGCCCGGGGGCCGGATAAGGCCCCCCCAAGGACATTTACCCGGCCCTCGCTCAGGCTCAACCTAAGTCTAAAACGACTTTAAAGCACACAACAACAACAACAACAAGAACAAAAATCCTATCTCATCAGCCAAAAGCAGGCCCACACTTCCCATTGAAATACTAATACATTTATATTTGTTAACATTGTTCTTCATTTTAATTATTGTATAGTTTATAACAGGGGTCCCCAAACTAAGGCCCGAGGGCCGGATACGGCCCTCCAAGGTCATTTACCTGGCCCTCGCTCAGGGTCAACCTAAGTCTAAAACGACTTTAAAGCACACAACAACAACAACAATCCTATCTCGTCAGCCAAAAGCAGGCCCACACTTCCCATCGAAATACTAGTACGTTAATATTTGTTAAAATTGTTCTTCATTTTAGTTATTGTATAGTTTATAAGATGTGTGCAGTGTGCATAGGAATTCATTCATGTTTCTTATTTTCAGATCATAATCTGGCCCTCCAACAGTTTGTGGGACTGTGACCTGGCCCTCTGTTTAAAAAGTTTGGGGACCCCTGGTGTAGAGTTTGGTCCAGATCCATCCTTGTTTTGAGTGCACAGTGATCTCTGGATGTAGGTGAACTACAACTCCAAAAGCAAAGGACACTGCCCACCAAACCCTTCCAGTATTTTCTGAATTGACCCCAAATTTGGACACAAGACACCAAACAACCCAATGTATGTCCATCACTCAAAAAACACTGATTTTGTCATTTGGGAGTTGTAGTTACTGGGATTTATAGTTCAGCTATAATCAGAGAGCATTCTGAACCCCACCAGCGATGGAATTGAACCAAACTTGGCACACAGAACTCCTGTGACCAACAGAAAACACTAGAAGGGTTTGGTGGGCAGTGTCCTTTGGTTTTGGAGTTGTAGAACTCAAAAACCACTGGGCGAACTGACACCAAATTTGGACACAAGACACCAAACAACCCAATGTATGTCCTTCACTCAAAAAAAACAGCAACACTGATTTTGTCATTTGGGAGTTGTAGTTGCAGGGATTTATAGTTCAGCTACAATCAAAGAGCATTCTGAACCCCACCAACGATGGAATTGAACCAAACTTGGCACACAGTTCTCCCATGACCAACAGAAAATGCTGGAAGGGTTTGGTGGGCAGTGTCCTTTGGTTTTGGAGTTGTAGTTCACCTACATCCAGAGAGCACTGTGGACTCAAACAATGATGGATCTGGACCAAACTCTACACGAAAACTCTACACAAACTCTACACGAATGTTCAAATTCTTGACATATTTAAAGAAGCAGAAATGTGGGTTGCTTTGAGTTTTCTGGCCTGTCTAGTCGTGTTCCAGAAGCATTCTTTCCTGACGTTTTGCCTGCATCTATGGCAGGCATTCTCAGAGGTTGTGAGGTCTGTTGGAATCTAGGAAAGTGAGGTTTATATATCTGTGGAATATCTAGGGTGGAAGAAAAAACTCTTGTCTGTTTGAGGCAGGTGTGAATGTTGTAGCCAGAAATCTAATTCCAGTAGATTGTTTATGACAATGAGTAAAAGACAAGGCAAACTGTAATGTATACTATCCAGTTAAGACAGCTTGATAACCAATGTTCAGGTCCTTGCTAAGCCATTGTTGTGTGTGTCAGGAGTGAACACTGGTGGAGTTTGGGGAAAACATTTGGGAGTTGTTGTTGCTGCGATTTGTAATTCACCCACAATCACAGAGCATTCTGAACCCCACCAACGATAGAATTGGGCCAAGCCTCCCACACAGAACCCCCATGACCACCAGAGTGGGACACAGCAACATGTTGCAGGGGACGGCTAGTAAATAGTAAGATGTCAGGCTGGACCTGGAGAGTGAAACCCTCCCGCGATTATCCACACCAAGGGCTGAAATCGCTTCTTGGCTTCCTGATCATTGAGTGCCCACAAAGTTCATTAAAAACTATTGTGTTTCATTTCCCTCCCTTTGGGTTATTATACGACTTGGAGGTCCTTTATCCAGGCGTGGGCCAACTTCGGCCTTTATTGATTAATTTGTAGTAATTTCGTAATCTATATCAATTTAAATTCAGTTTAGTTTAAGCTTAAGTTTTGGACTTCAGCTCCCACAATTCCTAACAGCCTCAGGCCCCTTCCTTCCAGGCTGTTAGGAATTGTGGGAGTCGGAATCCAAAACACTCAGAGGGAAGGCCGAAGTCGGCCCATTCCTGCATTCTTCGGTATTTTATTTTGGGCTTGGCCTCATGTTACCCGTCCCGAGTCCCCATTGGGGAGGTGGTGGCGGGTATAAATAAAGTTTATTATTATTGTTATTGTTATTATATTGAAATGCTTCCTGGAAGGAAGGGGCCTGAGGCCGAAGTTGGCCTATGCCTGCACGATTCAGTATAGTGAAATACTTCATATGTATTTATTTATGAGGGAAGGCTGAAGTTGGTCCATACTTGCATTATTCTGTAGGCTGTTCTGAATCGTGGGAGCTGAAGTCCAAAACACTCAGCGGGAAGGCTGAAGTTGGCCCATGCCTGTATTATTTGGTAGGCTGTTAGGAATTGTGGCGGTTGGAGTCTGAAACACCTGTAGGTAAGGCCAAAGTTGGCCCATGCCTACATTGTTGGGTAGGCTGTTAGGAATTGTGGGAACTGAAGTCTGAAACACCCAGAGGGAAGGCCAAAGTTGACCCATGCTTGCATTATTTGGTGGGCTGTTAGGAATTCTGGGGGCTGAAGCCCAAAACACCTGGAGGGAAGGCTGAAGCTGACCCATGCCTGCATTATTTGGTATATTGAAATACTTCAAAATTAATATTTTTTTAATTAGTCCCCCTCAGGGAAATTATTTTATTATTTTATTTGGAGTGCTTCTACCCCGGCCTTCTCAACCCCCTCGGGGGGACTCCAGAATTGTAAAAAATATTGTGTATTAAATTACTTTTGGGTAATAGGTCTAATAAGATGTACAGGTTTATCTGGAACACCAAAATATTGTCTACCTGGGTGGCTGAGGTAGTGACCCTTTTGCTTTTTTCATGGTTCAGTATTTGCAGACTTTGTTTTATGCACACATTTTTTTCAAATATTGTATATAATAGTAAATTCAGGCTGTGTGTGTAGGGAGCCTCTAATGGGTTAGGGAGCACAGCATTGCTGGAAAGTGGGCTTGCTTGGAAAGTGGAACCCTGTTTTTGTTTTAAAGAACTTGCAATTGCATTTGGGCTGGCTACAAATGAAAATAATGCACTACAGTATGCTGTAGCATGTATGAGAGTGGTCCCAAGCAAGCCATACAGGCAAGAAGAACTGACAGAAGAGCAGATACTTTACCAATTTAATGGAACCAGATTGTAATTTGCAAACATAGTAAGAGCAAGGCATCAGAAAGCGAGGTTCTTTTTCTTCTTCTTTTGTGTCAGGAGCAACTTGAGAAACTACAAGTTGCTTCTGGTGTAAGAGAATTGGCCATCTGCAAGGACGTTGCCCAGGGGACATTGCCTGGATGTTTTGATGTTTTACCATCCTTGAGGGAGGCGTCTCTCATGTCCTCGCATGGGGAAGTGCAGCTTACAGAGGGAGCTCATCTGCACTCCCTTCAGTGTCCAAAAACACCTTTATATGATGTATATGAAACAGAGATTTATATTGTCTTTAGACTTGGGTCCCATTGCCAAGAAATTTCATTAAATACATAAATTCAACAACAATATCAGGGGAGAAACCTCTCTGGTCCCAAACATTTTGAATAAGGGATACGCAATGCCTTCCTCTCAATTCTTTCTCACATCCGGTTCATGAAATGCTCAGTCCTTCCTTAGGAGGTGTCTAGGACTGGAATCATGTTGATATTAGAGTGCCCCCCTAAGCAACTTAATAAAGGATTCCAAGTGAAAGAAAAGAAAACTTTCTCAGTGGGCTCAGTTTAGGTGTTACTTCCAGCAGGCATTAAGGGTATTGTGGTTAGTCCTCAAATCTATACATCATGTGTAATTTAAGATTGTTTAAAAACGATATAGTTGCCCTTGACCTCAGTTTTATCTACTTACATTGGCAGTGGCAGGTTTGTCTGTTCTGTTTTTGTATAATTGTTTACAAGCCCGTGTATCCCTCCCTTGAGGAGCTGACTTTTCTCTCTCTTTCCTTTGGAGAAATTTCACCTACCTTTGCAAGTTGCTAGCATTTTTCTCTTGATAGGTTGATGACACAAGTTCAGGGTTGTTGGAAAACCCCAGTAGGTCTATTTTTAAATGCTAGCTCTTTAATTGCTTTCAATTTCAGCCATAGCCAAATATTCTTGGATATCCTGTAGATTTCTGGCCAGCCACTGTGGGAACATCCCACTGGATAAAAATGGTCTTTGATTTGATCCAGCTTCAGGGCTTTTTGAAAACAATACAGATATATTGCCAGTGTTGCTGTGATGTCCTAGAGTTACTCAAGGTTGTGATCCATGGACAAGTGCTGTTCTGGGAGCCATTGGCTGCTGCTCCTTGGTGAATTTCCATGAAATAAATAAACAGCTGTAGCCAGTGGGCACAAATGTATTGCCAAGCCACAATTCATTTGGAGGGGCGACCCTGATGGTTCCCCACATTTGATAGTTTAATGAGTCCTAACCTAGAAAAAAATATACAGTATTGTCTGCTGTGAGATTTGTTCAAAAGTGACATAACTTTGTTTTTTTCTTTTATTGCAGGTATATTACTTCTACTCACTTGTGGGTCTGATTTGAACATCGAGTGAGATATATTGAATTCTTTTCACCTGTGTGCTGTACCTATTTACTGGCTGTTTTTGGGTTTTATGGGAAAACATGAAACAGTCCTTACCAGGAAACGTGTTTTTTTAAACTGAAAGTGTGAAACACTCATGTTTGAAAAAGGAAGAGCAATTTGGGGCAAGAAACGTGTATGCTATGGTTAACTGGTCCCCATTCTCCGATCATTTGTTTTCCCACTGTGTGAAACTCCTTCAGCATAGGGATAAAGGATAGCGACTCTATGGATATACAGAATTTTTCACCATGGTAAAACTCGCTAACCCGCTGTACACGGAGTGGATTTTGGAGGCAATTAAAAAGGTCAAGAAGCAGAAACAACGTCCTTCGGAAGAGAGGATATGCAATGCCGTGTCTTCGTCCCACGGTTTGGACCGCAAAACTGTTCTGGAACAGTTGGAACTGAGTGTTAAAGATGGAACCATCTTAAAAGTTTCCAATAAAGGACTTAATTCCTATAAGGATCCTGATAACCCTGGGCGAATAGCACTTCCTAAACCACGGAATCATGGAAAGTTGGATGGCAAACCAAACGTGGACTGGAATAAACTGATTAAACGAGCAGTTGATGGCTTGGCAGAGTCCAGTGGCTCATCACTGAAGAACATTGAGCGCTTTTTGAAAGGGCAGAAAGATGTGTCAGCTTTGTTTGCAAACAGTGCTCCTTCTGCCTTTCACCAGCAATTGCGTTTGGCTGTCAAGCGTGCTGTTGGCCATGGTCGGCTCCTTAAAGATGGACCTCTGTACCAGCTTAATACGAAAACAGCTACAAATGCTGATGGGAAGGAGAGCTCTGAGTCTCTTTCTTGTCTTCCTCCCGTATCTCTCCTTCCACATGAAAAAGATAAGGTAAGACTTGCTCACCAGCTCTTGCTAATGATGTCAAAAGTTGAGTTCAGGACTTGAGATTACTTTTTAAAATTATACTGCATGTAAAAGTATTTGTGACCTCTTTCTAGGAGGTAAGCTGTGGAATGGGAATTTCCCAGTTCAGATTTCACCTGGGCTTTTGACCCTCTTTCTATTATGTACTGTGAGATAATACTTTTACAGGCCCCTTATAAGGATTAGGTTAAACCCTTGTGCTGGCAGGACTGAAGACTGAGAGGTCAGAGGTTCGAATCTGGGGAGAACGTGGATGAGCTCTCTCTGTCAGCTCCAGCTCCCCATTCGGGGATAATGAGAGAAGCCTCCCACAAGGATGGTAAAGCATAAAAAACATCCGGGGACCCCCTGGGCAATGTCCTTGTAGAGGGCCAATTCTCTCACACCAGGAGCAACTTGCAGTTTCTCAAGTTGCTCCTGACACACACACACACACAAAATAAGAATTATAAAGTATCTATAGGATTTAATAATCTCTTTAAGATGCTGATAGGACTTCCAAGTAGTGTAATTAAACGTTGCATGGGCATGCATGTAGAGTTTATTCTAAACATTGGTTGTTTGTACCCTGTTTGGAAAGTAAATCTTGAAAAAAAAAACAAACCCCAGTATTCTCTGTGAAAGAATGGGAATAGATTTAGCATGAGGTGGAGGAACTCTTTTTTTCAAGGTGTACATATTAAAAAAATTGGGACTATCTTATTTCTGAGTTGTGCGAAATCCACAGGACAAGTATAATGCATTTGTAATTATTTTATTTACTGAATAATCAGTCACAATCTGCCCCTGTTTGTCAGAATGGGTTCTCCTTTCTTTTAGAATTTCCACATGTTTTGTAGAGTAATACATTTTTGCTTGCCTTTTCCTAAGCTATGAACATAGCTAGGAGCCGCCGGTGGCACAGTGGGTTAAACTCCTGTGCCGGCAGGACGGAAGACTGACAGGTCTCAGGATCGAATCCTGGGAGAGCGCGGATGAGCTCCCTCTATCAGCTCCAGCTCCCCATGCAAGGACATGAGAGAAGCCTCCCACAAGGATTGTAAAAACTAAAACATCTGGGTGTTCCCTGGGCAACGTCCTTGCAGACGGCCAATTCTCTCACACCGGAAGCGACTTGCAGTTTTTCAAGTCGCTCCTGACATGACCAACCCCCCCCCCCCCCCAAAATCATGTTTCATGAGAATACATACGTTCTTGATGTTTGAAGTTTTGTGGAGTAAGGAATCAGAAATCCCTCCAGATTGTTGAATGAAACTGCATTTGTACTTTTCTGCCAGTATTGGCAAGCAGAAAAAACCTCATACATATGTGGGTTTCATTGTAAGTAGGTGGTGATGTTCAAAATGTTTTGAATGTTGTGCCAAATGTTTGTGCTGAATTTTTTCAACACTTGCTCTTCCCCCTTCATTTTGGTACCATTGATTCTGCTTGCTAAGTGTACAGTAAGTGTTTAGTATTTTGAGGTAATTTTAATACAGAGTGTAATGTAGTAGGAACAGCAGGAATCTTAAGTGTTGGTGCTGATCAAAAACTTGACATTTAGAAAACCAGAAATGTGGGTTGCTTTGAGTTTTCTGGCCTATCTGGCCATGTTCCAGAAGCATTATCTCCTGACGTTTTGCCTGCAGCTATGGCAGGCATCCTCAGAGGTTGTGAGGTCTGTTGGAAACTAGGAAAGTGGGGTTTATATATCTGTGGAATATCCAGGGTGGAAGAAAGAACTCTTGTCTGTTTGAGGCAGGTGTGACTGTTGTAGCCAGAAATCTAATTCCAGTAGATTGTTTATGACGAGTAAAAGACAAGGCAAACTGTAATGTACACTATCCAGTTAAGAGAGCTTGAAAACCAGTGTTCGGGTCCTTGTTAAGCCATTTTTGTGTGTGTCAGAAGTGACTTGAGAAACTGCCAGACACTTTTGGTGTGAGAGAATTGACTATCTGCAAGGACATTGCCCAGGGGGCGCCCAGATGTTTGATGTTTTGCCATCCTTGTGGGAGGCTTCTCTCATGTCCCTGCATGGGGAGCTGGAGCTGACAGAGGGAGCTCAGCCTGCTCTCCTTGGATTCGAACTGCTGACCTGTTGATCAACAGTCCTGGCACAAGGGTTTAACCTATTGCACTGCTGGGGGCTCCTCCTAAGTCATTGGCTTGTTAGATGAAAAGTAGTTGGCTCATGGCCTCAGTTCACCTTCTGTTGAGTAAGAATAACATTGGCTTGACTATTTGGCAGTTGCAGTGTGAACATTATGAACTCTGATAGGCGTTTTGCAATTTGTTATTGCAAGGTTAGTAAATTGAGTGATACAGATATGTGTTGTGTGAATCCTGCCCAGAATTATAAACATTGAATATAGTTGCTCTGCTTAAGTATTTTGGAAGTTCATAACAATAATTCTGTATAGTTGCCAGTTCAGAATTCCGCTTCCTTTTTGATGTGTTGGTTTTTGAAAATCAGTGTTGAACATTCATTTCTTTAAAATACAGAAAATGAGTCATTTCTGAAAAAAAAAAAAACCAAATAAAAAATTAAGGAGCTACCGTACATATCATGTTCAATTTCTGTGGCACCTTTTCTATTGAGTTCCATTTCTTGCACCTTGAAATATTTGGCAGAGCATTTACATTACTATTAGGCCTCTGTTCGATCAGTTTTAACAATAAAACCTTAAACTCATTGTGCCACTTGCTTATATGTTCTTGGTTATCTTTACTTTCTATATACTTTCTGTGGTGTTTAGATGCAGTACTGCTCTATTTGAAAACTAAAAATTGCTAAAAGAGGATACATGCATATTGAAATCTAGGAAAAGGTAGTGATAACGTATTGGATCTGGAGACACAAACAGTCCCCCCAACACAGTCCTTAAGAAAACATGGACCAAGCAATCCATTCCCAGTCAGTGTTGAATTTCATTCTCAAGCCATACAACTCACTGGCTGGCTTTCCAGGTCTTCACAAAGTGGTGATCCACGAGTTGACATGAGTTAGTAAGCCATTGGCTACTAGGACTGCAGTGAGTTCCTGACACATAATGTTCCAGTCCCTGGAACTTGGGGGAAAATTCACTCCACTACAGTGTTTCTCAACCTGGGGGTTGGGACCCCTTGGGGAGTCGGGAGGGGGTCTCAAAGGGGTCGCCAAAGACCATTAGAAAACCATTAGGAACCCCTTTGGCAAAAAAAGGCTGAAGATCTATCCGCCTGTCCTTTTCCTTTTTGGAAACAGAGGGCAAATCCTCCCACCAAAAGCCCTCTTCCGCTGTGATTGGCTGGCCTCTCAGCCAAGGGAAGAGCTGTTTCTGAGACTCCAAGCGGGGGAGGGGAGAGCAGGCATGCTTGGTGCATGGCAGCGTGGTGTGCATGTGCAGATGAGGGAGAGCATGCAAGGTTGGAGAGAGGCTTGTGCCAGCAAGTCCCTTCAAGGCATGGGAGTTCTGTATGGGAAGTTTGGCCCAATTTTATCATTGGTGGGGTTCAGAATGCTCTTTAATTGTAGGTGAATTATAAATCCCAGCAACTACAACTCCCAAATATCAAGGCCTATTTTCACCAAACTTCAGCAGTGTTCACATTTGGGCATATTGAGGATTCATGCCAAGTTTGGTCCAGATCTATCATTGTTTGAGTCCACAGTGCTCTCTGGATGTAGATGAACTACAGATCCAAAACTCAAGGTCAATGCCCACCAAACCCTTCCAGTATTTTCTATTGGTCATTGGAGTTCTCTGTGCCAAGTTTGGTTCAGTTCCATCGTTGGTGGGGTTCAGAATGCTCTTTGATTGTAGGTGAACTATAAATCCCAGCAACCCCAACTCCCAAATAACAAACTCAATCCTCCACAACCCGTATCCAAATTTGCATGTATCAGGTATTTGTGACAAATGAATGACAATACATCCTGTATATCAGATATTTTACATTATGATTCATGACAGTAGCAAAATTACAGTATTGAAGTAGCAACGAAAATAATGTTATGGTTGGGGTCACCACAACAGGAGGAACTGTACTAAGGAGTCACGGCATTAGGAAGGTTGAGAAACACTGCTCTACTATATCACATGGCACAAGAAACACTCCCTCAAAGCAGTCTTGTAAAGCACTTACACTCCTGTCTTGTAGTAGCTCCTAGTCTTTTCAAAACAAGAACCAGTGTTAAACAGATACAGTAGGACTAGAACTGCAGCCTTTTCATAAGTGTCTGCTTATCTCTGCAGTGTTGATGAACACTTCAGATACCAAACAGAGTTACAGAAGGATCTGTTTAAATACCGGCTTGGATAATTAGTACGAGTGACCTTCTCTCTTGTTTTCATTTCGAGCCTTCAAGATTGAAACAATTCTTTACTTTTCCTTTTATCTGACCTGGGGATGGGAAGATGCAGCCCTCCAGCTATTTCTGGGTTGCAACTCCATGCAGCTTTAACAATAATAGCCAATGGCATCTGGACTCCCACTTCAGTCTAGCTATTCCGTTAAAGGAAATGCTGGCCATGAAATAGTGCATACTTTAATTATAATTGTAAGGAACCAATTTTGCATAATTGCAAGTAAACCTCTCTGAGAGTAGAATAATAGGAACATACTGTACATTCTAGAAATATTAAATCAAAACATCATGGCACTGAAATAGGGTGTGGTTTGTACTGGAAGTAAAACAAAATGAAAAGAACTTTGAGGCTTTTTGTGCAGAACTGGAGTGTATGTGTTTGTCGTTAATATAGTTAATAGCTTTTGATTAATATCAGAGGATTGTGTAATTATGTGGGATCTCCTGCAGAAGCATTAAAATTAATTTATTCAGACAGGGGTACAAGAGTACATTTTTTTTAAACTGTGATGTCCTTTTAGTTTTAACTGTTGGATAACTTTTTAGTTCATTGATATTCGACATTGTGGAACTTTGGGAAAACTTGTAAGGATTAATATTTTCTTGTTTAAGACATGTTTCAGAGTCACAGGAA